GACAGACGCACGATGGCACAGAACGGCGAAGTGACCGGCTACACGCCGGTCGCGTCAACCCCCTGCCATCTGAGACGGCAGCAGCAGGTGTTACCGACCACTCTGCGCGCTAACTCCCGCACCAAGGACATCACAACGGGGAGTCGAGCGGTTCTCAGAGCCTCGGAATCGGCGGACCGACCACTGTCTCGCTCGAGCCCCCCGGACAGGCCTCGGATTCACCGATCTTACTACGCCTCGCCCGTCCGCCTCTCCCGAGACCCCCTCAAAGGGCCTCGGACAAATTGGCAGCGTTCACCGCTCGCCCGAGGCGGGCTCGTTCCACAACCTCGTCGCCTCCGCCTCAAAAGTCTCTCCGGCAGTCGTCATCACATCCGATTAATGCGCTTGGCCGCACCCACTACGTAAGCCACGATCGGTAGTGCGCTGCAACAGGAGCGACGGGACAACGGTCATATCACCTTTTTACCATTCCCATCGACAACACAGTGTATCAGATCCTCGTGAGGCGCGACGTCTCGCACTATTCCGCTCGATGGGCTGCGAGACCCAGATTCCGCACTGGGTCACTTCTCGGGCCTAAGACGGCGAGGCCTCTAAGACGACAGGCCTCGGCACGACCGGCTACGAAGGCCGCCGAGCCTCTGCAATCCACCAAGTCAATAAATGCGCAGCATGTTACTTGCAGTGAAGATCATACCGATTAGACATCTACGGGAACTCCCACGACAACCCCATGCTGCTCCAGGAGTAAATACGTCATCGAATAGTCCTTGCTCCACGTGTAGCTCTCTTATGTACTCCTGGTTTCCTCCCTGCGACTATAAAAGGAGGCAGCCAGGACCGTTTCCAGGATGACGGAGAGAATCACAGATACTCGCACGAACAACACGCCTCGTTCTGTAATTCATATCACCTCCCCTCACAGAGATCTGGGACGAACTCCCTCTCTCGCCTAGCTTGTAACCCCCTACTACGAGCACCCCGGTGCAAGGAATACAAGAACACCTTCTCAGACTGGACGTAGGGCATCCATTGCCCGAACCAGTATAAACCTTGTGTCTCTTTGCATCTCCATCCGGAAGAGGGAGCACGCAGAATAAATTCACTAGTCGGTTAAGGACCCCCGGTTCCGAAACACCGACAAATATAAATCGCAACATATGGAAATTAAATCTCATACCAAGTATTACGAAGTCTAAGTATAATATATTCCTGAATGAATATTAAAGTCTCAAGAAGAGCATGTCCTAGAAGGAAGAGTCATCGAGTGACTTTGTAAGTGAATAGCACTATCATATTGTGTATATCACATAATAATCTCTCATGTAGTAGAGAATATATCTCATAAAAGAGAAATATTATTCACTAAGAATGAGAACATCCTTGAAGGATTTAATCCATGAAGGATTTACCAGTCAATTCTTGAAAAAAACACCATTAATCCCTAAAGTTGATGTAGACCCGAGAGAAAGAAAATGAGAAATACTAAATACCATGAAGGTGTCATACAAACACTCAGAAAGTGTATATTGTAAAGCTAGCAACGAATTGTTGATATCCTCTAAAATACCATAGAAGGTATAAGAATAATGGTGAATTTCGCAATTGAATTATCCCCTAAATGCCAAATGCAAGATTGGATTTATTATTTAGTGGTACAATCAAAATCCTGAAGATTTGTAGAATATATAATTGAAAAATCCACTAATAAAGAATTATAAGTATTCAAACTCTAGTATAAGTTTGATACACTATCTAGAAGATATTGAATGTAACTTATTTACCCCCACAATCCTCTGAAATGATTTATTATCCTGAAGGATAAATTTTATTTATTTTGCACAACTAATAAGTGGTTATCTATGCATGAAGCATATTGCTCTTGTTTACTCATATTATAATTCATTGAAGAATGATAAGCCAATATTTTGAAAGATATAGTATTATGGTACTGCATATTATTATTAAGCACACATTTATAAAAGCTGTGGTTTGAACAACGAAGTTTAAAGGATGACTTTATGAGAGGGAGCAATTTGAGTAAATCTACCTTGAAAGTAATTAAAACCACTATAATTACAAAGATCAAGTAGATCATGGCCCTGTTCGGCTGGCTGGAAAAACGGCTGATGCTGATGCTAATGCTGGTTTATTATGAGAGAAAAACACTATTGTTTCGCTGAAACGGTACGACCGATAAGTTTAAGCGAACAGGGCCCATATTTGCTAAAACATTGAAGTTTATGCATAGATCATAAATATAAATATCTATTCATGAAGAATAGAATATCATGAAGAATACATGACAAGAAGGTTAAATGTTGTACTCTTTTTCCCTATGTAAATTTTTACTTGAAGATTTCTTACATAAGATTTTTAATGAGACAACATGTGCAATGCAATTAACGAATGCGATGTACTCTTTTCTCCGAGAACTATTTTTCTTACTGGGTTTTCGGATGGAGTTTTTAATGAGTCATATGCATATCGTGGTAATCGCCTAAGGGGGAGTGTTGTAAAACATATAGACTCTATCCTAGGGCGCGTTTAGTTCGGTCAACTTTGGAGGTGCAAACTTTGCACAGTAAAATATTCCCCACTGTAGCATTTTGTCTGTATTTGTGAATTATTGTCCAAACATTGACTAATTAGGCTCAAAAGATCCGTCTCGCAAAGTTAAAGCAAACTGTGCAATTAGTTTTTGATTTCGTCTACATTTAGTACTCCATGCATGTACCGTAAGTTTAATGTGATGGGAAATATTCTTTTTGCATAGTGTCAAAGTTGGGAGTTTGGGAGAACTAAACAAGGGCCTAGAAGGAAAGAAGAAGGAGGAATCATAATTATAGTCTGTTTCGTACGTGGGCTCTTACCAAACTCTTAGATTTTGGCAGGACCATATATATATATATGTGAGCTTTATGTTGTAATTATCAATATTTAAAAAAATAAAGAATAGTCTTCGGTGTGTTCTCCTGTGCCATATGTTTTATAACATGTACGGTCGCTGCTGCTCGCCTTCTGTCTCCTGCAGTACTACATCTGCATGGCAATCGCCAATCGGGCTCGGGCCCCCTGCAAGCTGCTGACTGTGACTGAACTTGTCGTCCATGCAGCGCATCCCCCAGTCCCCAGTCCCCAGAAGTGGCTGGGCCCTACTAGCGTGGGGAAAAGGGCCCAGGCCAGAAATAAGATATTCGAAAGCTGGCGCATCCTCCACATCGCCCGGGGCCCGGCTGTCGACCAGAGACAGCTTGTCGCTAATCTTATTCTTTGCTCGGCAGTACAGTACCGCACACCCAGGTTAATACCCTTGATTATTTACTAACTGAGGTTATTATAATATACTAGTGATTACGTACGATATACGTACTACTTATCTCGTGATGCCAGTGAGATCCTCGCGAAGCATGGCATTAGCTAGTGTTACAGTAGCATTTGAGCCCAGTTGACAGTTCGGGCGATGCAGGCTGCAGGTGCACTTCCGCTGGAGGGGAGGGCTGAACTGAAACTGAGCTACTAGTGCTGGCCGTGACCTACACAGCGTTGCATGACGCAGGAATGATTTTGGTTCTTGGGAGCGCAGCGCGCACCGTACCAAACCGTCATTTACGAGCACTGAATGCCGAGTAATGTGTACGAGTAGGAGTAGGAGTAGGGCCTTGTTTAGATGCATCCCAAATTCCAAGTTTTTTCACTCTTTCTCCATCACATCAATTTTTAGCCGCTTGCATGGAGTATTAAATGTAGGTAAAAAAAATAACTAATTACACAGTTTAGTTAGAAATCACGAGATGAATCTTTTGAGCCTAGTTGGTCCACGATTGGACAATATTTGTCAAATAAGACGAAAGTGGTACTATTCATCGGGTTGAAATCTTTTCAGCATCTAAACGAGGCCTAGGAGTAGGACTACGTAAATGAGATGATTAGGATAGGACTAGCAGCAGCATAAAATGGAGCAGCGGATCTGTTGCTACTGACTGCTGCTTTGATCTGACTATGGGGAGAGTTGCATTAGGACAGTTCCAATAAAAAAAATTAGTAGTTTCTATAACATAGGATATCGCACAAAAAAAGTACTGCTTTTTAATCCATGATTTTTATGAGTAATAATTATTTTCTCTTTCTCTCTTCCAACTCTATCTTCTTCCTCCAATGAGAGTGCGACACGAGCTCCCTAGAAACTGGTGGTTTCTTCCCAATGACGATTTTATGGTTTCTTAGTGCATTGGGTTAAGAGTAGACCTGATTTTTTCATGAGAACCATTTCTATGATTTTTGCTCTCTTTCTTCGTTAATTACGTTGCCATGTCAACGTTTTATCTACGTGGCAAGTCATTTAATGAGGATAGAAACCATCATCCATGCATCATTGGACTGTCCCTAGCCATTACGACTCTCCGTGATAGTGTATTATCGTAACAATCTGTCACGTTGTGCGCGCCTGCCTGAGCAGTGAGCACCGCGTTGATCGCTGTGGTCGGGGGTCGGGGCCGCCGGAATAATTGAGCTTTGGCCCTTGGGAGCTGGAGCAGTGGAGCTACACCTCCACACATCGGCACGTCACCCATCCATACAGCTGAGCTGAGGACGGAGGAGGGTTTTTGGCTTGGCAGGCGGCAGGAGGACCCGGCACTATTACTGTGGATGTACTGGAGTAGCCGAGCTCGAGCTGCTGCCCCCTCCACCACCCACCTCACTCATCACTCAGATTTGCCCTCGGCCGGCACGGCATTTATCCCCCACCTACAATCTCAGGCAATCCGCCATTACTGAGCCCCATCGCCCGTCTCCCCATCGGGTCGTCGCAGCTCGCAACGCGGAACCGCCACCACTCCCTGTCCGTCCCTCAGCCTACCTATCAATCAGTGACTGACGGACGCTACTGCCTTGCCACCACTCGCTCCGCTGCGCCTGCCTCTGGCTGCGGCCTGCCGGCGGTGCGTTGTACTTGTACCACCACCAGTGCTCCGCTCGCGAACGATCGCATTCCCATGGCGGACCACTCCAAGGTGCTCCCCGCGCTCGCCGCCGTCTTGCTCTGCTGCTGCTGCCCCCTCGCGCAATGCGGCGGCGGCGGGCAGAACTACACCTCCATGTTCAGCTTCGGCGACTCGCTCACCGACACCGGCAACCTGCTCGTGTCCAGTCCGCTCTCCAACCACATCGTCGGCCGCTATCCCTACGGCATGACCTACTTCCACCGCCCCACCGGCCGCTGCTCCGACGGCCGCCTCGTCGTCGACTTCCTAGGTGCGTCCCCGTGCGTCGTGCGCGCGCGCCGCCCACTGCTTCTTTATATTATACATTTCAGTAGTGCATTTCGTTTCTGACGCGACTTCCTCGTTGCGCGCCGCCCACTCGTGCAGCGCAAGCGTTCGGCCTGCCGCTGCTGCAGCCGTACCTGCAGTCCCGCGGCAAGGACCTCCGCCGGGGCGTCAACTTCGCCGTCGGCGGCGCCACCGCCATGGATCCGCCCTTCTTCCAGGAGATCGGCGCGTCCGACAAGCTCTGGACCAACCTCTCCCTCAGCGTCCAGCTCGGCTGGTTCGAGCAGCTCAAGCCGTCACTCTGCAGCTCCCCCAAAAGTCCGTTCCTTCGCATTGCATGCCTTCTCAGTACTCCAAATCCGATTTTGCATTTGGGATTTTGAGTGTCCTAAGAAAAAAGAGATTCTCCAATGATTAAGATTCAAGTGCAGCGCTGATTGCAATGTCTTTTTTCTGCTCTGAATGAATTGAGACAACAGAGTGCAAGGAGTACTTCAGCAAGTCCCTGTTCCTCGTCGGAGAGATTGGGGGAAACGACTACAACTACGCCTTCTTCAAGGGCAAGACCCTGGACGACGCCAAAACCTACGTTCCCACGGTCGCCGCCGCGGTCACCGATGCCACCGAGGTCAGGTCACCGAATCTCGCTCCCCATTGTTTACTGTATCTCGCTCTGCATTTCGCACTAAACAATTTGGGCCGCTACTCTGCTCACGACAACAGAGGCTGATCAAGGCCGGCGCCACGCACCTGGTGGTGCCTGGGAACCTGCCCATTGGGTGCTCGTCGGCGTACCTGACCCTGCACCCGGGCCGGAACAGCAGCGACTACGACGCCGCCGGCTGCCTCAAGACGTACAACGACTTCGCGCAGCACCACAACGCGGTGCTCCAGCAGAACCTGCGGGCGCTCCGGGCCAAGTACCCGCAGGCAAGGATCATGTACGCCGACTACTACGGCGCCGCCATGTCCTTCGCCAATAACCCCAAGCAGTTCGGTGAGTGCAATTGTTCAACCACCTCATATCGTGATCCTGATTCTGGGAGAGCTTTTCCAATTCGACATCAAATGTGTTCATCGCATAACTGATCGGCTACACTGAAAGTGACACTGAATGGTCACTACTCTAAGCTAGACTAAAGATGGTCCCACCACGATCTGCCATCCAATTGGAGTTCAGATTGCACGGCTCTTTCAGAAAATAAAAGGGTTGGGGATCTAGCTAAAACCAAGTCACCTGTAACCTGTTCGGCCATCTCCTTTCGAGAAAAGGGAGCTATGTCTTGCTTTTGCCACAACGAAAGGCATATGCAGCCTGTTCGGCAGGCTGTAACTGCCTGTATCTGGCTTTGACTTATCAGCCAACCTTTTCCTCTCACACCAAACCAGCCAGCAGTACTTTCAGCCGATGGCTTATAAGCCAATCCAGCCGAAACGAACAGGTTGCATTGGTCCTTTTGGTCAGTCATCTGCAGATTGCAGTTAACTGCAGTGGCTAACACATGGATGTGAGACTGAAAAATTGGATCTTGACCATTGAGCCGCTTTTACTGTAATTGGTAACCCTGCTTTCTGTGCTGTGCTTAATGAAAGGTCAGAGCACCTGCCGAGCTTGCACACACAAACACACACAATAAAAAGAGAGAGAGAGAGATCTTTCCCCTGGAGTGCTAAAACCCATTTCTTTTAGACTGTATTGATCTAGGTAGTGATCCTTCCATCTAGGTAAAATCTGGACATCGGATTCTCAGTTTCCGCCCGTATATATTACTCCTTACTAACATTCAAATGGTTGTTAGGGCACATCCAGAAATGTTGTTGTTGAGGTTGCAGAAGTCTACTGGCATCTTGGGCTGGGTCATCTTATTCTTATGAGCATTTATTTGGCACACACCAGTAAATTGATTTGAAGTTCCCTTATCTAGTACTAGTAGATGCTACTGAAATCTGCCTCATTTTTCTTGACAAGATTATAATCTTGTAGCTGTATTGATGAGTTCGTTAGCAGCTTGGTGAACTATCATGGTCTGTTCTGTCCTATATATAGGGGAAATGAAAATGATATCTCAATGTCAATTTGGAGAATTGGAGAGTAACTGCTAACTGTTTATAGACTTGGACCTCTAACTTCCCTAACATGACAGTTCCATCCAGAATTCAGTTATTTGGTGGTCTTGTATATGCGCGGATATAACGACCTGATTAGTCATGGACAATTGACCACTGGGATGGAATGAGGATGACTGTTCTGCAGAATTTTGAATTCTTTTCTCAATTCATGTTACGCCCTAAGAATTCAGATTCAATGTCCAAACACGCTGACATGGTAGCAACAAAAGTTTATTAGCCCAAGTTTTATGTGGATATAGTAGTTCTTCTAATCTTCTGGAGTTTTGGGTTCAAAAATTCAGTTCTCCTCACGCTGGCTATTGTGTTCTGAGGTTCCAACAATCCAAATCCAAAGGGAGGACAGATGGGGATTTGACGGAGTGATCACATACCTTTGGTGGAATATTTGGAAGGAAAGAAATCGAAGAACATTACAAAACACGGCGATGCAGGAGCTGCAGCTGGCCTTCATCATCCTATCATGGAAGGCATCAACTTGTTACAAGCGATCCTTTGGGAATCACATTACAACTTAACGAGGAAATATGGGCTATTGTCTGGGTTCGGTTGATGACTCGATGTCAGTTGGTTGCCTTGTGTTGTGAACCCTTTTGTGGTAGCTTGGTAGGCTGTTAGCTGTTTAGTGGATAACTGCTGGGTGATTGGTGCTCTCGAGTCTCGACATCACTACTAGCGTCTCCTTCCTCTTTTTTTCTGGCCTTTTCTTTGTTTGTTCGCCTTTCGTTGGTCTTTTTTCTTTTCTGTAAATGTCCTTATCTCTTTCTAACAGATTGGCTCAGCAATTCTCCTGCTGACGTGCTAAACATGGTGTTCTGAAACTAAACTACTCTGTGGATGGAAATGGATGCAGGGTTTACAGAGGGGCCGCTGCGGACGTGCTGTGGCGGCGGCGGGCCGTACAACTTCAACCCAAAGGCGAGCTGCGGCGTGCGGGGCTCCAGCGTGTGCACGGACCCGTCGGCGTACTCCAACTGGGACGGAGTGCACCTGACGGAGGCCGCCTACCACGCCATCGCCGACAGCATCCTCAACGGCCCCTACACCAGCCCCAGGCTTCTCTGATCAGGACGGTGAAGCTCATCGTCCATCGGCACGGCGGCAGCTCATCTCATCTGTAGACTGTAGTGGTGGCAAGAATGTGGCCGTGAGCTGCTAGCTATGGTAATTAAACGACTGTTGTACGTACTCCTACTACTAGTGTGACGGTGTTGGGACTGGAATGGTAACTCGTAACTAAAATGGTGGAGTTTTGCGTCCGTTTCTCGAATTGTGCCTTTGTGTGGACTGTGTCGTGAAATTGGTTCATCTAACTGGGGTACTTAAGTCACTGACTCACTGGCAGGCGCCGGTGACTCTGTGTCGTGTTTAGTGGATGGATCTCCTCTAATTTAAGCTAGAGACTCTACACTGGCGGATAGGTTTGTTAGATCCACATGTCAGTCACTGGTGGAAGTGTTTAGTGTTGGTTCTCGGCCGGTGATAATTGTGGGGCCCTAGAATCCCAGATTGTTGGTTAGAGAGAATATAGGGGAACTATATTTAGGACTCTTGGAATTCAAATCCGTTATAATAATCACATTTACACATAGATTAATTAGGTTAATATGGCTACATGCAGAGTATATTTGTATATTACTGTTGACCATAAGTCGGAGATACTTTTGTGCTACATTTATATTGTATTAGAGCGAGTCGAAGAGCGTGCTGTGCTATGAGATGTAGAGCAGAAACATAACATTGGGACCTATGAAATCAAATTCTATCTCTCACCCCATGAGCCTCACTGGCAGGCGACGGTGACTCTGTGTCGTGTTAGTGTATGAGTCTCCTCTAATGTAAGTTAGAGAGACTTACAGCCTGTTCGGTTGGCTGGTTCGTATCGTTGCTGGTTCGTGAAGAAGTACTGCTGGCTGGTTTGTGTGAGAGAAAAATACTGTTCTGACGAAAAACACTGTTCATGTGAACAGTGTCCATGTGAGGGGGCTGGCCGGCCAACCCAGCCAGCCAGCACCAGCCGAATAGGCTGTTAGTCACTGGCACATGAGCCTGTCATAGTCGCTCTAACTAAGTTATAGGAACCGGTTGTGTTTAGTGCGGGCTCTCAAGCCAGTGGCCCTAGAATGCTAGATTGTTGGTTAGAGAGAATATAAGAGGAATTATATTATATTTATGAGGACCGTTGGAATTTCTCTCAGAGACTAAAATTAAACTTCAGAAACTAGAAAATTTGAATATTAAAAGTGAGGCTGCAAATCTAAAATAAAATTGTCAGTCTAAAGTTGCCTTAGACCTTGATTGTGCACCTATCACTTTTGTGGCCGTTGGATGCACTAGGAGGATGTTCATTGTGAAAATAATAAAAAAAATCCACTCGGTAAGAGAAAAAATGCCCTAGCTTCTAGAGGAAAAAAAACTGTTTCAGACATGTGATTTGTTCCATAAATAGTAAATTGTTCTGTTTAATAACAAACAATATTCTATATTATTGAGAGAGAAATACTCGACACATGTGTACTTTTTGTTCCATAAATATAAAGGTTGTTACTTGACAAGAAAGAAATGTTTTAGCCTCAACAATAAAGGTTGTTCGGAAAGGAGCTCCAATGGTTTCCACGCTGGCGGCTCGACCTGGGCATCTCTCCTCAAGGCGTTCACATTTACAAGTAGGACTCTTACTGGCCTAAAAAAAAGAAAGAGTAGGACTCTTACTCCAGACATGCAACCTAAGAGGAGAGAAATAATAATCTGATACCCCCATTCTTCGTTGTTCCAGGCTTCCATATAAACATACTGCAAGGAACCTCGACGCCATGAAAGCACTCTCATTAGGATGTTATTAGTATGATGAAAAGATCGTCGTGCAACATTATAATTATAAGTAATAGTATTCTTGAGCTACCAACCTTGCAGCTGGATTGCCTTCTCCTGATCCCTGACGTTGGGATCGTCATGAACTGATTGGATTCGATACTAATACCGTGAAATGATTTGATGTTGTCGCGAAATCAGTGAGTTGAGGGCTGAGGCCAACAACATAAAACTGCACAACAATAAACAAATCTACCATTCCTGCCGGCGAGATGGAATAACCTGCGTTCGCTACGAAGACTATCAATCCTGCCGGCGCCGGGTATTTATAAGCCGTATATAGCCTATCTCGCCGGAAAAAGATCGGAGTTTGTTGCGAGGTAACAAGAGATGAGAAACAAGCGCTGGTTTGTTGCGCTGGATCGGAAGCCTAGCTGGAGTACGCGCCGCCACGTACGCCGTTCCTTCTTTCCCCAAGCAGACTCGCTCATCTCGTTGGGCCGAGGTGATCTTCACATCATGGGCCTTTGTACCTGTTTGGGCTTGTCATTGTTTCTGGCCACGAGGTTTGAGAGGACATTTTATTTTATTTTTTCATGTACGCGACTATCTTGTACGGTCTCGTTCCTTGATGCTTGAAATACACACATGCATATTAAATATAAATATGTTTAGGGTCATGTACAAAGTAGCAACATGGAACAATCAGTTCTGGCCTTTTCAACCATCAGGTAGTTAGTGCTGATGCATGTAGGGAGTGCAACTTGGTCCTTAAGTTTACCTTAAATCCTTGCTGCTCGAGTAGACAAGTAGAGGCCAAGTTTACCTTAAATCCTTGCTGCTCAAGTAGACAAGTAGAGGCCGGCATCCATACAATAGACAGCACGTGCTAGTCTCATTCAAACAAAATTATCTGTGATTATCCCTGGTAATTCTGGGAAGCGGGGCGTCTATATGCCCGGACGCTCCGTTGCTGGGCCGACGCAAGCCCAGTGACCGCCTCTTATTTGCCCGTCCACTCGTCCTGCAACCGTTCTAAAAAAAACTTACCTCACCGCAGCGCCGTGATAGCGCTCGGCGTGCGCCTCGGTGACCGTGCTCTACACCGGTGAACTCCACACGCCGACGAGCCTCCATTCGCAAGCAGCAAGGAGACGTTGCGCTAAAAGAGCCTGTTTCAAGCCTATGTTTCAAGTGTTTCAGATGTTTCATAGGTATGCTGGAAGTGTTTCATAGAGATGTTGCGATCAAGATGTTGCAATGTTACAACGGATGTTGCAAGCTTCTGTTCCCAATGTTTCATCTGTTTTTTCCAGACGTATGTTCCAAGTGTGTTTATTTAAATGTTGTATTTGTTTCACACATATGTTGCAAGTGTTTCATCTGGATGTTGCGTATGTTTTACAATGGTTTCAAGTTCTTTTTCAGGTGTTTTTGTAAATGTTTTATATGCATGTTTCAAGTGTTTCATCTGTCTTTAGTCTTATATTGCAAGTGTTGCATCTGGATGTTTCAAAAGCAGTGTTGCATCTAGATGTTTCAAAAGCAGATCGTGTGTTGTATCTTCCTCCTCTCCTTCTGCTGTCTTGGCTCGGTGTCTCCTCCTCCTCCCGGCGGCTGGACATCCGAACCAGAGGCACAGGCGGACGCTGCCCCCTCCCTCTCTTCTCGATGCTGATGACGTTCGGGGTGGCGTGGGCCTTGCGTGAGACACGCGAAACGGAGTGCAGGTGCGGGCATCCGTCCGGACGCTAGCACTGCCGGATTATCCCACATTGGAAGAGTACTGAGTACGCAACTTTTTATAGTACCGAATGTTGATGAAAGTTACCGGCCAAGGATTGACAAACATTTAGGGGGCGTTTGGTTGCCTACCACCGCGCGCCATAGCAAAGTTAAGGCTGCCACAGTCAGAAAACTGCGGTTTCGTTGAGGACTAAGTTGAGGCCCGCGACAACTTTTTTAACTGGCTGAAGGAGGGAATCTCGCACCACAAGTGTGGCGGCCGATTTCTCCGCCAGACTTCTGTGGCAACGCCACAACATGCGTGGCTGACGACGGCTGGTAACCAAACAGCCCCTTACTTCAAAATTGTGGCGGCAGCTACTTGCCTCCTCATGCGTCTTATTCGCACACGTATATATAGCTTTACTGCAAAGTGCAAACTGATGCAACAGTCAGCAAGGTAGCTAGGCTATGGTATGCAGGGTCGTCTCTATTATTTTACATGCGCATATATATGTGAGTATTTGTGTTTGTAATTGTATGCCCAGAGGTGAAAAAAAAATAGTTCATGCTATTTTTAGCAAGCTTCAAATAATCAGCTCAAATAGCTAGAACTCTTGTACGTCTCTACCCTCTAGCTAGCAAAGGCAAAAACAGTTACAAGAACCGTTAGTTCTACGTAGTTTCGCGGCCGGCCGTGTTGCCCACTTGCCCTTGAGGAGTGATGTGCAAGAAATCTGCCTCTCGCTCCCTATTTATATGGAAGCAACATCTTCAAAGCATTAGCTCACACGCCCCAAGCACCACAGGAGCATCAGACTCGATCAGCATCAGCAAAAAGCCACTCTTGTGTTCCAAGCGCAAGCGGCCCAACCATGGGGCTTCTTCCCGTGGGCGTGGCGGTGTGGCGCCATTCCTGCTCCTCCTCTCCCTCCTATCGTGCCCTCGCATCGCCTACTCCGGCGTGCAGAAGCGCTTGACCTCCATACTCAGACTCGTACGCCGACACCAGCAACCTGGTCAGGTGGGTAGACCCCGTCCTGCGTCAACCTGAGGAACCCACCCTACGGCGAGACGTTCTTCGGCCACCCGTCTGGTCGCGCCACTAACGGCCGCATCGTCCTAGACTTCATTGGTACGAGTATTACCACTGGCACTGCTAGTTTTATTTATTTTACTTCACCCGAGTGATGATTATATATACACGAGCTGACGTTGCTGGCGCTGGAATTTGCAGCCGATGCTTTGGGTTTACCTTTCGTGCCGCCGGTGCTGTCCAGAGGGCAGAACTTCTCGACTGGGGTAAACTTTGCGGTGGTCGGAGCGACGGCTCTGAATCTGACGTACCTCCAGGGGCACAACGTCACCGTCGTCCCTCCGATCAACAGCTCCCTGAACGATCAGCTCCGGTGGTTCGAGAAACTGAAGCCATCGCTTTGCCGCAGCACACCAGGAATCGAAGCTATACATGTTCCAGGACTGAAATGAAAGTTCAGCGCTTCTCATCTAATAACAAAGGAGGTGTACAT